AACTATGTACCATAAATTTAGGTACATCTCTCTACGATTAATCAGTTCAGTTCAGTTCAGTTTCTTGTATATTCCTCCATTAATTGTGGAGCACTACCCATAGGGTATAATTGTAGCAACTATATACACCTTAGAACATAAGGAAACATTTAATTATGTACAGATGACTGAATTTAGGCAATAATAATTACTAAATAATTAATATTATAACTAATTCATAGGATTGTCATCATAAAATTTAAAAAATTAAAGAACCTTAGTGAGCACGCTCACATACCCCACGTCCCCACATTGTCACTGGAGAAATAAAATAACTGTAAGAAAAAAAAATTGTATAAAAAAAAAAAATTGAATCATAATTTCCTGTCGATATGCACATCTACATAGTATGTCCTTATTATCTACAAAGTTTCATGAAATTCTGTTGTGTGGTTTCAGAGGAGTTGCGATGACAAACTGTTGCAGAGGTATATTGAAGCAAATAAGTTCAAAGGGGCGTAACTCCTAGAAAAAAAATTGAATCGTAATTTCCTGTCGATATGCACATCTACGTAGTATGTCCTTATTATCTGAAAAGGTTTCATGAAATTCTATTGTGTGGTTTGAGAGGAGTTGCGATGACAAAATGTTGCAGTAGTATATTGGGCAAATAAGTTCAATGGGGCGTAACTCCTGGAAAAAAAATTGAATCGTAATTTCCTGTCAATATGCACATCTACGTAGTATGTCCTTATTATCTACAAAGTTTCATGAAATTTTGTTGTGTGGTTTCAGAGGAGTTGAGAAGACAAACTGTTGCAGTAGTACATTAAAGTAAATAAGTTCAAAGGGGCGTAACTCCTAGAAAAAAAATTGAATCATAATTTCCTGTCGATATGCACATCTACGTAGTATGTCCTTATTATCTACAAAGTTTCATGAAATTCTGTTGTGTGGTTTCAGAGGAGTTGCGACGACAAACTGTTGCAGAGGTTTATTGAAGCAAATAAGTTCAAAGGGGCGTAACTCCTAGAAAAAAAATTGAATCGTAATTTCCTGTCGGTATGCACATCTACGTAGTATGTCCTTATTATCTGAAAAGGTTTCATGAAATTCTATTGTGTGGTTTGAGAGGAGTTGCGATGACAAAAGGTTGCAGTAGTATATTGGGCAAATAAGTTCAAAGGGGCGTAACTCCTGGAAACAAAATTGAATCGTAATTTTCTGTCGATATGCACATCTACGTAGTATGTCCTTATTATCTACAAAGTTTCATGAAATTTTGTTGTGTGGTTTGAGAGGAGTTGCGATGACAAAAGGTTGCAGTAGTATATTGGGCAAATAAGTTCAAAGGGGCGTAACTCCTGGAAAAAAAATTGAATCGTAATTTTCTGTCGATATGCACATCTACGTAGTATGTCCTTATTATCTACAAAGTTTCATAAAATTTTGTTGTGTGGTTTCAGAGGAGTTGAGATGACAAACTGTTGCAGTAGTACATTAAAGTAAATAAGTTCAAAGGGGCGTAACTCCTAGAAAAAAAATTAAATCGTAATTTCCTGTCGATATGCACAACTACATAGTATGTCCTTATTATCTAAAAAGGTTTCGTGAAATTCTGTTGTGTGGTTTGAGAGGAGTTGCGATGACAAGAAACAGGACTGACGGACTGACAGACGGACGGACGGACGGACGGACGGACGAACGGACAGACGGACGGACAGACGGACGGGTCAAAAACATTATACCCTCCGCAACTCGTTGCGTGGGGTATAATAATATTCATAATGTGCTGAAGTGTAAGAATAAGTTAAGTAAGAACTGGATATATTTACAAATAAGAATTTAGAATTTAAATGGTCTTAAATTAAACTTTCTTATAATTGTTTGTTAAAGGTGCTATACGTACATCAGAATTTATAATGAGAAGGTTATTTTATAAGACTTATGTAAAAGGGTTGGGGTTTAGAACGATTCATCATATATACATGTTTTCCTTCACAGTTTAAAGTTACCTTATTTCGGATCTTATCATTATTCTTTAAAGGTAACTGGATATTTTAAAACTTTGCAAAATTTTTTATTTAATTTAAGCTAATACGTCATAAAATAGTAAGATGGTAAAGTAGGGAACTATTTTATTTTCAAAAAGTTTACTTATACTGTACTTGTGTTCAAGTTTTTTATCCTTTTTGTCCTCTGAGTATATGCATGGCTTGGGTGAAAGAAAAGCAATTGATCTATACTCATGCAAATAACCCTTTCAATTATGAATTCTTATAAACTGAACAAGTAATAGCTTTTCTAAAAAGCTAGCCGTCTCATAGCTGATGAAAGTGGAAAATGTTTTCTCTTTGTAGTTCAATTCGTTCAAAATTGTATGTAAATTGTAGTAGATAACAAAAATTATAAAAGGCTTATACCTTTTTTTAGATTTACCAATTTTTTTTGGGAGAAAGTATTAAAACTGGAAATTGGGGGTAATGTCTTTTTATCGATTATTTTTTTTCAAACAGATATCGGATTTGTTGGCTTTTTCTTTGGTTGTTTGCTTGTTTATTTGTGTTAGAAAAGTATGGCCGCTTCCACCTGAAAGTTTTTCGTTCATAATAGGCATCGAAAAGTGTAGAGACTAGAGAGTGAAACGTAGTAAAATTTAAACATATAAGAACACAATTAATATATTTCCAACGGTATCTCACATCTTTTCAAAAATGATCCTTAAAATGTAAAGCTTCACATATATGTATGGTTATTTTTGTTGTCGATGAAGATTTTGTCTATTCATTGTAGTTGGACTGCAATGTGGAATGCCCCACGCCTCTTTTTCTATATTTGAATAATGAGTATCCTTAACAATTAAATGTTTCTTTTTTCAGATTATTTGGTTTTATTGGACTTCTTGATTTTATTTTTTGATGAAAAATACTCAGAGTCGTGAGACGGGTAATTTGTTATATAAGACCTATTGTAAGCGCCTGAAAACAAAGTAGTTTCGCCGCCATTTTTTTTTCAAATCATAATAGACGTCGTTGGTTATAAAGAAGGTGATAAGTTCTGCAAAGCTACTTTAAGTTCACTATGAGGCCATCAACATAAGAGAATCAACAAATTTGACCAAAGCTTAATCAAGCATACAGCTTGATACTGTATCTTTTGTTATTGTTTTACTTGTACATATCTTCATATTTATTTACTATACCATTTAATGTTGGATGACGAATAAGGCCCTTATCATACTTACCCTTAAAAGCTTGACATACTGGATTGACATAATCTTTTGTGGGAGACCGTTCGTATGTTGACATATAAATGTCTTTTTGTTTTATGATCATAGTATATGTATGTTTATACTTGTTTTTACAATTCTTGTAGAAAACATACAATTAAGAATAATCTTTTAAAGTGCCAACAGTATTTTCGTCTTTTAAATTTATAATTTTCTTTTATTTCTCTTTCTCTCATTTAGCATGTCTAGTATAGATAGTCAATAAACCTCAAAACAAACATTAGAAGTTTGTTCCTGACCCTGCTCATAGTTCCAAGTAATATCTGAATTATTTTTTGCTATTAAGATTATTTTTTGTAACAAAAAAAATGTTCCGGCGTGACATTTGTTCCTCTGGGACTTATTTCATAGGAAATATGTTCCACCGGAATTTATATCACAGAAAATTTTTACCCGGAATATATATTTTAAGAAAATATGTTCCAGCACTGTAAAATTTGTTCCGGAACTAATTTTTTTACTAAATGTTAAATAAGTTCCGGGTGTTATAGATTAACATGATGCATTAACTTTATATCAAGCAAAACATTCTATAGTTGTACCTGACAAGTTTAATATTCAACATTGAAGTCTTTAAACAACACGACAACGTTCAAAATAAGGTAAATCTTTGAGAAATTCAAATTAAGTCAGCATATATATTGTACGTAGATAATATGATTAAAAAACAAATGCACAACTATGATTAACAACTGCGATAAATATTTAAAACACACTATTTCATTTTTTGTCTCGCCTTGACGGAGTCAAAAAGCGAGACATAGGTGTGCTGTTTCCGGCGTCGGCGGCGGCGGCGTCGTCAACAATGTATTAGTTTGTGATTAGGTCTAGTTTATGGCGAACCACAAGTGGTAGGTCAATCATATTTGGTATGCAGTTGTATTAGCATTGGCACATCTCATTTCCATGGAGATTATTTGGCCCTGCCCCCTCAGTCATGGTCTATTGACTTTGAAACTTTTGCTTATTTTACATGTATTAGTTTGTGATTAGGTCAGTTTATGGGGAACCACTAGTGGTAGGTCAATGATATTTGGTATGCAGTTGTATAAGCATTGGCATATCTTATTTCCATGGAGATTATTTGGCTCCCTTAGTCATGGTCTATTGACTTTGAGAATTTTGCTAAGTTAACATGTATTAGTTTGTGATTAGGTCAGTTCAAGGGGAACCATTTAGGGTAGGCAAATGTTAATAGGTATTCAGTTGTATAAGCATTAGCACATCTCATTACCATGGAGAATATTTGGCCCCGCCCCCTCAGTCATTGTCTATCGACTTAGAAACTTTTGCTTAGTTTACATGTATTAGTTTGTGATTAGATCAGTTTAAGATGAACTGCTAATGTTAAGTAAACGATATTTGGTATGCAAATTTATTGGCATTTGCAAATATCGTTTCCATGGATATTATATAGCCTCACCCCCTCTTCATGGTTCATTGACTTTGAAACTTTAATGTTAATGTTTGTGTTTAGGTTTGTTTAAAGGGAACGACTTATAATAATTCAATGGTATTTGGTATGCAGTTGTATTAGCTTTGGCACATCTCATTTACATGGAAATTGTTTAGCCATGTACCTCAGTCATGGTTCATTGACTTTGAATATTTGCATAACTTATGAAACATGTTAAAGTATTGCTATTTTAATTTCAACATTTGCATAATCAAAATTACAAAAGGATGAGACATATTTCTGTGAAAACAGTTTATCTACAAATTCTGATATGAAGTAACATATGTTGAATTGCAATATTCATAAATAAATGATTGATCTATAAAAAATTTCTGACGGATTTTTCTTATTCTTCGCTTATCTGCCTCATTAAATTATTGTCATTTGGATATTTTTGTATGGATAATGTAATTAAACATTTTGCTATACTCCACAGAATCCATATTGGATGTTTACACCTTTTATTTATTACATTATCAATATAATACATGTTTTTATAATGTACTTGAATTATAACTTTAAGCTCACTGATAACAATGCTCAGTATAAAAGATAACTTGTATAACCAGTGGAACATATTTCACAGACAAGAAACTTATTTCACCAGGTAAGGAACAAATCTCACAACCCTGGAACTTATTTCACTAGGTAAGGAACAAATTTCACAAACCCAGAACTTATTTCACCAGGTAAATTGTGGAACTTATTTTATAGAGATGGAACAAATCATATAGAAATTATCTGTGAAAAAAGTTCTCCCAGAATATATTTCCTGTGATATTTGTTCCACTGGAACTTTTTTCACAGGAACTAATTTTGGCTCACATATTCACAACTATTCTATATATTATAGTTAGACTTGGGAGGATAAAAAACTTTAAAATGTTGTAATGACATGTACATTGAAGAAGACCGTAGATTGAACTTTAGAAGTAAATTGTCACGTTTTGTTTGTTGCTTAGTTGGGTTGCTGTCTAAATTAATTATATATACTTCACATCTCCTTTAAAATCATTCCTAGAAATTAAACATTGCTTAAAATATGTTAGCATACATCGTCTGAGAGTAGTTTTTTGCTCTTCTAATATTCCCTTTTAGATATATTTTTAGTCTTCTGTTCTTCAACCTCTGCTATATCTTGCTAGGAAGATCTAGCTAGGTAGATCTAGACAACATCCAACTCAGCCAAACGATATTGGGGTGTGTGTGGGGGCACTTATTATGTAATGAGTGGAAAGGATGAGTCGCTGGGATAGGTCACTGTTTGAAGCTTCATGAAATTGCATGAGGTCGAGAAATTTAGGTGATATAAGACAAGGTTGATGATTGAATCTGAAACTAATCAGATGTCGATATTTTTTTACAGATGCAATTAAAATCACCAGAGATTGTGTATATATGTCTCTAAAATCACTTTCGTAAATTTTTAAGATATTTGTCAAATCTATTTACTAGTATCTCCCCATGAAATAGCGTAACAATGATAGCTATGTGCAGGTATATATACTTATTGTAAAAAATATATGATAGCTAGGGTAACTGCATGTATGTTCTTTTATCATTCAATATATATAGTCAAATGCGTTTTGTTAAAATATACTTTTTCACTCATTTGGTCTTTTGGAAAATGTTGTTTGTGCTGTATTTAGACCCCTCTACCAAGAAATTTGTTTTGCATGCACACGTATAAAAATTGCGGTTTTTATCCAACGCAATCATAGGTTTGAACGTTGTTTTCAATTTAGACTTGTTTATATTTTTTCGTTTGGGCTTGTATTATATTTGCCTTCGGACTTATATGATCCGTTCATCCTATTTTGACTCTTTCAAAATTCAAGAGTCTATCCTAAATTGAGGTAAATTATATGGCCTTCCAAATACCGTTTCGATTCCTAACATCACTGAAGAGACATTAATTGTCGAAATCCGGATATGGTGTACAAATGTTTGCACCTCATGTTTGCGGTATACCATCTTTTCCGCAAGTTTATTGTTTTCTGTTTGGTAATAAATTAATGATAAGATTATATATTGGCATAAGATGGAGCCATTTTTGTACCCATAGCAGTGCCATTTGTCTGTAAATAGTGTTCTCCTTGGAATGTGAAGTTCAAGGAGAACATTATTTACAGACAAATGGCACTGCTATGGGTACAAAAATGGCTCCATCTTATGCCAATATATTCATGGGTAAAGTTGAAAAGCAACTGCTGTTGTGCTCCATCGAAAAACCGCTTTCCTGGTATCGATTCATTGATGACGTTGACATGAAATGGGACAAGGGAGACCAAGAATTACAAACTTTTATAACAAATGCTAACAATCAACACCCTACCATCAAATTCACCCATGAAACATCTAATTCCACCATAAACTTCCTTGATACATCTAGCACCCTCTCTGTAGGTATAATAAACACAGATATATACTTTAAACCTACAGATACTCATCAATACTTGTCGCCTGAAAGTTGCCATCCTCCACACTGCACGAAGAGCATTCCATACAGCCAAGCTCTCAGAATAAGGCGAATCTGCTCCTCTGAAGACACTGCAAAACAACGTCTGGGGCAGCTCAAAGGACATTTGAAAAGAAGGGGATATAAACACAAAAACATCAAAAATAGTTTTCGAAAAGCGGAATCCATCCCCAGAAGCAGTCTGCTAACTTACAAAGAAAAACAGAAAAGTAAAAGAATCCCATGTGTGCTCACCTACCATCCATGCCTGAGAAATAGTTTCAAGACCATTCGTGATCATTGGACAGCAATAGAGAAAAATTCTAAGTTATCCAAAATCTTTCCTGAGCCTCCCATGATTGCCTTCAAACAACCTAACAGCCTGAGAAATATTCTTGTCCGTGCTGACCTTTCCAAACCTAACCATACTGTAGGTAATTGCCAGCCTTGTGGGGATAAGCGCTACAAATGTTGCAACCAATTGCAGCATTCATCAACATTTCACAGTAAGACCACAGAAAAGACATACAAGATCTTCTGCAATGTCAACTGCAAAAGCTCAAACGTGATTTACGTTCTTGAGTGTCCTATATGTGGTCTCCAATATGTTGGTGAATCTATGCAGCCATTTCACAAACGCCTTAATGGCCACAGGAGTGACCTCACAAAAAAACCGTATATTCCTGTCAGCCAACACTTCAGGTTACCAGATCACAATCTGAAAGATTTTGATCACATGAAGATCCTTGTGATCGAACAGGATTGTACATGGCAAAATAGGCAAAGAGAGAATCGGGAGAAGTTTTGGATAAAAACACTGGGTGTCCTCCATCCAGATGGAATCAATACAAAGAAATAATTAAATTTACAGTCTAATGTTTATATTATGATATTCAGGATTTTGGATTAAAATCAATCGACCAAAACTTACCTGTATTATTATCTTATTGGAAGCGAACGGATACATTTGATTTGTTTTATACGTTGCTGTTTACTTTGCGGTCCCCGTTAAGATATTGTCGATTTTATTGAAAAGTAACATCGGTAAAATAAAGGTACATGTTTTCAAGCGTAAATTATAAACTGTCGGCTAAAACATAGTTTGTACATTGTAGGAAAATGAAACATGTATGTGTACTCGCTACGAAAAAGGAGAAAGCTAGCTCGGCGAATTTCGCCTTTCGCTCGCATTTAGATTAAAGCTTGTACAAATAAATGTTACTGATATTCCGACAATGATCGAATTTTGTATTTGTAATTTACAAAGACGACTGTAAGGGGAGGTGTTCAGGTTATTGATAGACTGTGTGAACGGCAAGCTACACCAATTATCCAAGAATTTAACATGTTTAATACGCCCGAATTATTAAAAGATCATTTACAGGAAATATAGTATTTTGTGACATCTAAATTGCCTTTTTAGCAATTATTACGTGGTCGGTCTTCTAAATTTAGAAACAATCACTTAAGCCTACCGGTAAATTATAAATTAAAGCCTGTCACATATGTTCTACCTGAGCATACTAGCTTTTGAAAAAAGACTATTTTTTAACATCCATGTACTTTACCGTTTTAAGCCCTCGAACGTTACCCTATTGGTCCATCGCACTTTATCTTGATATACCACCGTACTTTAGCAAACAAACAACCATCGCACTTTAGCGTGATTCACCATCGTACTTTAGCGTAGACCATCGCACTTTAGCGTGACCATCGCACTTTAGAGTACCATCGCACTTTAGAGTCCTACATATATATATATATATATATAAAGGGTGGGGTATTGGATGTCTCAGCTGCTCACCTCTGCCATAGAAAGGACGAAGTGCCGCCGCCGCCGCCCCCGCCCCCTGAGATAAAAATTCTTGTGTAAATTAATATTAATCGAACAGAAATTATTTGATATCTCCGTTTTAAAATGTTTGTGTTGCCTTTAGATTATCTTACTGAGTAGGGGGCCTCGGTGGCCGAGTGGTCTCAGTAGTTACTACTGTAATCACTAGCCAGTCAACACTGAGGTTGTGAGTTCGAACCCCGCTCGTGCGGGTGCACTCGACTCCAATCTTAATTGACTAGGATTGTCAGTTTTCCTGCTCTCCGGCTTCCTCCACCAATAAAAACTGGCCGCCACGAAATAGCCCAAAAGCGGCGCTTAAAAGTGGCGTTAAAACACCAAAAATCAAATCAAATCAAATCTTACTGAGTATAAATAAATATAACCTAAGAAAAAGGCATTTTCCTAAAAGTTTTCGTATGTTTTCACGTATAAAATGTACGTAACATTAAATAATCACGTGTGTGTTTACAAATCTTCAGGAGATTTCGCTATTTATAGATAAGTGTTACCTGTGTACCGATATGCATGATTGGTAACCAGGCAAATCTATTTACTAAAATAAAGAGTTCAGATCCGACACTCTACGGGATTAAAAGACATTTACTAGGTTTGAATTGTCCCAACCAATGAACGAAATTTAATTATGACAGCGTCAGTAATATCTTCCAATTAGGTAGTAAGAAAGCCTTCAGCCCGCAGACTGTCCATCGTTCAACTCTTAATACCGTCTCCGAGGAGACGGTAATAAAAAGTAATCAAACAGTACTCAAACTATAGATGTGGAATAAACTTCAATTTGACAGCAACCAAACGACAAAAACGCCATAGGTAAATCAGATATGTCTTTGAGTAAAAGCCAATTTCTATTGTTTCACTGTTTTTATTTCAAATAGCGCAATTAAACAATCACTTTTTCCAAATATATTTTTTCTAACAAAGCATCAAAGAAAAGATCAACAGCCCTTTTATCATTACTACTTAGCAACAAGGAAACATAATTTACCAGTTAAAGATTGGTTGGATCAATTTTCAAGGTGATCAGACATTACACAAGAAGAGCGCGTGCCCCGTAAAAATGTTAACTTGTATTTGTAGTATTTGTATTTTTATCCATCTGATGAGTTAAGCCTCTTTCAACTGATTTTTATAGTTCGTTCTTATGTTGTACTGTTACACCACTGTCCCAGGTTAGGGGGAGGGTTGGGATCCCGCTAACATGTTTAACTCCACATTCTGTATGTAAGTGCCTGTCCCAAGTCAGGAGCCTGTAATTCAGTGGTTGTTGTTTGTTTATGTGTTACATATTTGATTT